TGTAGGTAATCTGCACAGAATTGTTAGCCGAAAAACAGAGGAAATGCGTAAAGCAATGAAACAGTAGTAGAGAAACTACTTGGAATTTGTATATCAAAAGACTGCCTCAACCCGGCTAACCCAGGAGTAATATAGAACCTTTTAGACGTTCTAAAACTGGCTAAAGGGAAGATAAAGTTAGCTCATATGCTAACGGCCTAAAAACTGCAATAAAGTAATAAGGAAGTGGAACGTCCCTGAAACAGGCACATGGCTGGGTATAATACTCCTGCATCTCATCGTGTCAAAGATGCTCCGCATCATGCGCCCCCTCTCCAAAAATTTGTTGTCCAGTCTGAGAGTCCACAGAATCGTCCTCCATTGGATGATATGGGTATAGATCTGCAACATTGAAAGTATTCGGTGTATTGAATTCTTCGGGCAACTGTATAACATAAGCATTGTCATTAATGCGGCGAAGAACCGGAAACGGTCCGAATTTCCTTTGACCGAGTTTGTTATAAGCCCCTGCTGGTAATCTTTCCTTCTTCATTCTTACCCACACAAGATCTCCTGGTTTGAATATCTGGCTCCGTTTGTGACGATCAGCATCCCGTTTGTACCTGGCATTTGCCTCTTCGAGCCTTGAACGCACTTTGGTTAGCAATTCAGCAAACTGATCCACCATAGCAGCTGCAGCCTTGCTTTTGCAGTTGGGAATAGATGCAATATCTAAAACGGTATTTGGAGTTTTAGTGTATACAATAGAAAATGGGGACATACCCGTGGACCGATTGGTCATGGCATTGAATGCGAATTCTGCTTGACATAACACTTCATCCCAAAGTGTCGGTTGATCTTGTACTAAGCAACGCAATAAGTTGCCCAATGTCCTATTAACGACTTCTGTTTGTCCGTCTGTTTGGGGATGATAGGACGAGCTTAGTTGCACCTGTGTCTTGAATCTTTTCCACAGCTCCCGCCAAAAATGGCTAATGAATTTCACATCTCGATCCGATGTGAGACTTCTGGGCACTCCATGAAGTCTAATGATCTCTCTGAAAAATAGTTTAGCGATATTCTGTGCATCAAATGTCTTTTTACAGGCTATAAAATGAGACATTTTTGAAAAGCGGTCCACAACGACCATGATCGAGTCGTTTCCTCGCTTTGTGCGGGGTAATCCGAGAATGAAATCCAAGCTCAAGTCTTCCCATATAGATTCTGGAACTGGTAGCGGCTGATAAAGTCCAGTGTTTTGCCCGCCTCCCTTGTACATCTGACATATTGAGCAGCGGTCAATATACTTGCTAACGTCTCTTCTCATGTGTGGCCAATAGAATTTGTTCTGTAGCTGTATCAAGGTTTTGTCTCGTCCGGCGTGTGCAGCCAGACCTCCTCCGTGAACCTCCTGAATTATCCTCTGCCTCCATGAGGATTGTGGTATACATAAAAGATTACCTTTGAACAAAAACCCATGCCTCAAGTTATAATCATCAATGGGCTCTTTGTGAACACACTGCAGCCATTTCTGACCGAAATCCTTGTCATTCCGATACAGGTCTTGTAACAACTCTAATCCAGAGAATTCCGTCTGCAGTTGGGTAATGAGAGCTGACCGGCGACTTAATGCATCTGCAACCCGGTTCTGTACGCCGCTTTTATGCTTCAGCACAAACGTAAATTTTTGTAGGAACAGGATCCATCGCGCATGCATACGATTGATATTTTTTTGTGTATTAATGTATTGTAGCGCCTTATGATCACTACATAGAATGAAGTCCTGGTGTAATAAATAATGCTCCCACTGTTTTAATGATCGAATTACCGCATATAGTTCCTGTTCATAAACAGACCATCGTTGTCGTGCCGGACATAATTTTTCGCTGAAGAATTCGATGGGTCTGCCCTCTTGAGCTAAAACCGCCCCAATGCCCACCGTAGAGGCATCTGTTTCCACCGAGAAAGGCTTGTCAAAATCCGGTAAAGCAAGTACTGGAGCTGAGGAAATGGCCAACTTGATTGCTTCAAAACTTGTTTCTTGTTCTTTTCCCCAAATGAATTGTTTCTGCTTCAGCACGTCGGTTAGTGGAGCCAGGATAATGCTAAATCCCTTTATGAATTTTCGATAGAAATTCGCCAATCCGTGGAAACTCCTTATGTCTGTGAACGATTTGGGTGTGGGCCACCCAACTATAGCCTCCACTTTTCTAGGATCTGCACAAACTCCCGCCGCCGAGATTTTAAATCCTAGAAAGTATACCGCCTCCGTGGCAAATTCGCACTTTGCCAAGTTTAGGTACAATTTGTGCTGCCGGAATGCCTCAAATATCTGTTCCAAATGCTGAAGATGTTCTTCCAAGTTTGAACTGAAGACGAGTACATCGTCAAAGTAGGCCACACAGCTTTTGTTCAAAAAAGGTTTGAGCACTTCATTCATCAACCTCATAAAAGTTGCAGGGGCATTACACAATCCAAATGGCATTACACGCCACTCAAATAACCCCTCCCACGTTTTAAACGCCGTCTTCCATTCGTCGCCGGGTTTGATCCTTATCTGATGGTATCCACTTCGAAGGTCCAGTTTAGAGAAAATTTGGGATCCTGCTAATCTTTCCAACATCTCTTCTATTCTTGGCATAGGAAACCGAAATTTAACAGTAATTTTGTTAACTGCCCTGCTATCTACACACATGCGCCAACTCCCATCCTTCTTGGGTACTAACAATGCCGGAACTGCACACGGACTTAAGCTGTGCTGGATCAACTGTTTTTCCAACAGTTCCTCCACTAACTGTTGCAAAATTTTCTGCTCTTTCGGACATAATCTATAATGAGGCAGATTTGGTATTGTCGACCCAGGTATCAAGTCGATACTATGCTGAATATTCCTCAATGGGGGCAGTTCCGCCGGGAGCTCTGTAGGTCCCAAGTCAGCGTATTTCTCCAGTAACTTCTTCACGGGCTCAGGCATTCTTCCATCTCCTTTTCCTGTTTGTTCTTTAACAATAAGTGCCAAAATTTGAGACGACTCCCTCCAAGCATGTAGAAGTTGGTTCCCTGACACTACGAGCATTGATACTTTGTGGCTGTGGTTGGCTGACTCTAATTCACCGTCGCCAGGCAGTAATCTAAGCATCTTTCCCTTCCAATTGAAGGTATATGTGTTTGATCTACCATCATGTGTGGCTCCCATATCAAATTGCCACGGTCTCCCAAGGATCAAGTGGCTAACGTCCATATCAATAACGTCGCATACCACCTCACTTGAATAATTTTTCCCAATAGAAAATGGTACACAGCAGCTTTCGGTGACCGCCATCTCCACCCCCTTCTTGACCCAACTCACCTTATAAGGATGTGAATTTGGGATAACCTTGAGTTGTAAAGCTTGGACTGCAGCTTTTGAAATTACATTTTCGGTACAACCGCTATCCACCAGTACATCACAGACCTTACCATTAATGGTTCCCTTAGTCTTGAATATGCGATTTCTTTGTGATTTGTCTGCTAGTCTCGGTGCTACAAGGAGTTTCTGGATAACGCAGACTAGTGGTTCGCCATCATCCCCTCCCACATCCTCCAGTACATTCTCTGGATCCTCGTCTGCTTCCTCTATTGCGTCATCATCTTCAGCCTCGATTATGTGCAGTTGCGGTCGAGTGGGGCACTCATTAGATTTATGTCCTTGTTGAAAGCACCTGAAACACTTTATAGTAGTGGGTTTAGCATAAGGATTGTCCTTCGACTGACCTTTAAATTTTGGTGCAAATTTTGTCTCCGCAGTCTTGTTAACAGCATTATTCGTCATGTAATTGCCTCCCCCAGTCGGCTGCATACGTCCCGCTGAACTCGCATTGACGTTGGGTGCGCGGTTGTTATCTGCTGTTGATTCGATTACCCTCTTTCCTTGGCTGCTCTTGCCATGTCTGGCCATTTGCATTTCAACTTTTAAAGCATAGTTAACCGCCTGGGCCAAAGACCAGACTGTATTGAGCTCCAATTTATCTTGGATTGCCTCCTTCAGTCCTCCCACATATCGTGCTACCAATTGATTTGCACTTTCATTTAAATTGTTTCTGGCACATAATCGATGGAATTCTTCCGTATAATCGCTCACCGATCGGTTTCCCTGTGAACAATGCTGATATTGCATATATATTAGTTGCTCATAGTCGGTGGGTAAGAACTGACCTCTAAGGAGCTGCTTCATTCTCCACCAGCTGCGCACCGGACCTCGCCCTTCTCTTCTCCTGGATTGCAACAACTGCAGCCACCAAGCGCTAGCTCCCGACTTCAATCTACACGCAACGTATTTAACTTGTTTCATCGGTTCAATATCCATGTATTCGAAAAAAGTTTCCACCGCACGTTCCCAGTCTAAATAATCCTCGATGTGTAATTTGCCGTCGAAAAATGGGATATCCATCTTAACCCGGAATTCGCTGTGCTGGCGATCGTTCACCCTTGGTCGCCGTCTGTGCTGATACCCAGTATCCTCCTCCGAATCTGATAGTTCCAATTCTCTGAGTAGCTCTACACCTTCGTCAGAATCTGATGCTTCTCTGTTCAGCATCCTTCCTTGCATCCCACGCCGTTCCACCGGATTATTTGGTAATGCCGTCCGCATTACCGGATTACGATCCAGGCGTGCAAGAATGGAACGCAGATCTCTGCGCACATCCGCCTGGAACTGTTGAGCTTCGGTTGCGATCTCCTCCACATGCTGCGACAATCGCCGATGCTCTGCCCACAGGGCTTCGAGGCTTCGTTCATCACCGGGAGCCACCCGTCTACTGTTTTCAGCCATCTGGCTCTGATACCAATCTGGTGTAGGTAATCTGCACAGAATTGTTAGCCGAAAAACAGAGGAAATGCGTAAAGCAATGAAATAGTAGTAGAGAAACTACTTGGAATTTGTATATCAAAAAGACTGCCTCAACCCGGCTAACCCAGGAGTAATATAGAACCTTTTAGACGTTCTAAAACTGGCTAAAGGGAAGATAAAGTTAGCTCATGTGCTAACGGCCTAAAAACTGCAATAAAGTAATAAGGAAGTGGAACGTCCCTGAAACAGGCACATGGCTGGGTATAATACTCCTGCATCTCATCGTGTCAAAGATGCTCCGCATCAATATTCCCAGCCCACTTCTCCGCACCGACGCCGCAATCACCCTTTGATCTCCCCCTCTTGGCCATACGAGCATCCTCAACCCGGCCGCGGCCGCCTTTGTCACCGAATTCGACCCACTGTGGCTCAAGAATCCGGCCACTGCACGGTGAAAAAGAACAACATCCTGCTCTACCCACTCTCTCACCACCAACCCCCTCTCTTCCACTCTCTTCACATATCCTTCTCCAAATAATTTCTCAATCTCCACCGACTTCTCTTCTCTGTCCACCTTCGCGGTTTTCACCACCCAGAAAAACCGACACCCACTCATCTCCAGCCCAGCCCCAATTCTCTGATTTGCTCCATCGACATCGCCGAGCGGCTTCCGAAGTTCACGTAAATCACCGACTTCTCCGGCTGTTCATCAAGCCACCTTAGCGCTGGCGAGGGGGAAGATGGCTGTTTTTTTTCGAGAGGTAAAGGGCCTAAAGCAATCACTGGCGGGAATCCGGGAACGACCTCACCGGCATTGAACGCAGCGAGCAACTCGGGCTCCAAGGCTAAAAATGTATTAAGGATGATACCGTTCGCCAGAGTAAGTGCACGACCGCTCTCTATGAATTGGGTGGTGAAGAGATGGTTCGGGTTTCGGAGGGGCGGTGGGATGGAGTACTATGGAATATTGAGAACGCTGTCGGCTATCTTGACGTCAGTACCGATGGGATTGGGAACGAAGGGGAAAGCATAACAGAGAGCGAGCATGGAAGCAAACGAGATGAAAAAAATGAAGCAGGGAATGAGAAGCTTCTTCAACTTGTTATCTTCAACCTGCAAGAGAAAACGAAGTAGAGGAAAACAGGGAAGAAAATAAGAGGATGAACAGTATTTTTAGAAACCTTTCTTGCATTCCTTCGCTGTCCTTCATACAGTATATATAATGTATGAAAAGATACTAGCCATTGAATCAATCCGTTAGGCATTCACGGCTGAGATTAAAAGAGCCTGTATGTGCAGGTTTGCTTTAACAGAGAAGTGGGAAAATGCTTAAGCTAGGCGGCGTTGCAGTATAAGCTACTCAGTTTATAACGTGTGCTTATCACCCCCCTTCAAGATGACACTCGTGTCAAAGAGTGTAAGCTTGGTTCTGAGATCTTGAAAACGTTTGGTTGACAAAGGTTTAGTGAAAATATCAGCCACTTGATCAACTGTGGTGACATGTTGAATAGTGACAGATTTAGATTTCACACAATCTCTATTGAAATGACAGTCAATCTTTATATGTTTGGTACGAGCATGAAACACTGGATTATTTGCTAAAGAGATTGCTGAAATGTTGTCACAGTAGAGGGTAGTTGGGTCATTGATTGAAATGTCAAACTCGAGCAAAAGTCGTCTCAACCATAAAATGTCAGCAGCCGCAGTGGCTAAAGATCTATACTCGGCATCCGTAGAGGACCGAGCAACCGTATGCTGTTTCTTCACCTACCATGAGATAAGATTGCGTCCAATGAAAGCACAATATCCAGTCATAGATTTACGATCAATTGGATCGCCTGCCCAATCAGAATCAGAAAAAGCAGATAATTGTAAGCCGGTCGGTTGGATCAAGAGTCCAAATGATAAGGTGCCTTTGAGATACCGGAGTAGCCGTTTGAGCAAAGAGAAGTGACCATTAGATGGTTTATGCATGAATTGGCACAATTTGTTAATTGTAAAAGAGATATCAGGTTTCGTTACAGTTAAATACTGTAAGGAGCCAACCAGATGTTTATACAGCTCGGGATTGTGAAATGGTTGTTCACTGTTAGAAGAAGACTCAGCCTTAATAGCCATTGGCGTTTGAAGCAGCTTGCAAGAGTCCATGCCAGCCCGTGAGATGATGTTGGATGCGTAGGCTGCCTGAGAGAGAGAAAGACCGGTTGGTAGTGACTGAACCATAATTCCAAGGAAATGATGAATTGTTCCCATATTTTTTAAACTAAAATTCTGATGTAAATCAGTTAGCAGCTGATGAATAAAAGGCTCGTCATTGCCAGTTAATAATATATCATCCACATAGATTAGGATGTATAAAATTTTGGAATCATGTTTGTAGAATAAAAGGGAAGGGTCGGCTGAACTGGGTTGAAAACATAAATTAATTAGGTGAGTAGAGAATTTAGCAAACCATTGTCTTAGAGATTGCTTCAAGCCATAAATGGACTTTTTGAGTAAACAAACATGATTCAGTAGCAATGGATCAACGAATCCAATTGGTTGAGACATATACACTGTGTCTTGAAGATCTCCATGAAGAAACGCATTCGAAACGTCTAATTGTAGAATCTTCCACTTGTGTGTCACGACAACTGTAAGAAGAATGCGTATAGTTGGAAACTTTGCAACCACACTAAATGTCTCCAAGTAATCTAAGCCATACTCTTGCTTAAAACCTTGAGCCACTAAACATGCTTTGTTTCTTGCAATAGTGCCATCTGCATTATATTTTGTTTTATAAATCCACTTGCACCCATGAACATTTTGAATGGGTGAGGGAGGCACGAGTATCCAAGTACCCTGTGCTTATAAGGCATCGAATTTGGCTGACATAGCTTGCCTCCACTTTAAGTGCTTAGAAGCTTGAGTATAACCGGAGGGATCTAGAGGTTGTAAGCAATGGGACATGCTAACAATATTTTTTGGTTTTAGATGACCAGTTTTGAAGCGAGTAAGCATAGGATGAGTTTGTTGAAAAGATGGATTTAGGTTGTTTGAAGTAGATGTAGCCGAGAAGGGTACAAAAGGAGTTTGGGAAGTGTTTGGAAATGGATCAGAATTGGACGGTGTAGGAGGTAAGTTAGAATTTGATAAGGGAACATGTTCGGGAATTTGAGTGTTAGAGGGCATGTTGGAAGTAGGATTTTGTGTATGCTTGGAGGAGGTGATTGGAACTAATGATAAAGGAGGTTGAACTTGAAGAGGTGAGTTAAAGGGAATTGGTTTAGATTGTGTTTGAAAAGGGAAAATATGTTCAAAGAATTGAACATGCCGAGATATGAAGATTTTGTGAGATTCAATATTGTAGCATTTGTAACCTTTAGTAGTTGATGCATAGCCTAGAAAAACACATGGGGATGGCTTTGGTTCAAATTTATTTTGTGGAAGATTTGGTAACCAAGGGTAACATAAACATCCAAAGGTTTTTAAAAAATTATAATAAGGTGGCTTGTGATATAAAAGTTGGAAAGGGGAGAGTTTAGGAACAGGTGAGATAGTTAATCGGTTAATTAAATAGATGGTTGTAAGGAGGGTGTCAGGCCAAAATGAGTAAGGTAAATGGGCATCTAAAAGAAGGCTGCGTAGTGTTTCAATTATATGACGATGCTTTCGTTCCACAACACCATTTTGTTCTGGCGTATAAGGGCAAGTTAGTTGGTGTACAATGCCAGATTCTGTTAAGGTAGTTTGAAAAGAAGAATTAATGTATTCACCACCATTGTCTGATCGAAGGATCTTTATGGATTTGTTGAATTGCTTTTCCACACAGGACTTAAAAATTAAAAACTTAGAGTGAGCTTCAGATTTAAGGCGCATTGGAAAAACCCAACAAAAACGAGAAAAATCATCCACAAATAATATGTAATATTTGAAACCTTGATTTGACAAAATTGGGGAAGGTCCCCATACATCACTATGTATCAACTCTAAAGGTTTTGTACTACAATTTGATGAATGAGAAAAAGATAATTTGTGACTCTTTGAAAGAGCACAAGATTTACAATGAAACCTAGAAGATAAAGTCCTAAAGGCAACAGGTAAAGTTGCTTGTGTTGAAGTGGATGGATGGCCCAAGCGACGATGCCAAAGTGTACTGAGGAGAACAATGGGAGATGTGTTGATTGTTGAAGAAGCTTGCAATCTATAGAGGCGTTGACGGGATGGAGCTTGGAGAAGAATTTGATTGTTCATCAAATCCTTTATAGAAAATCCAGATTTGTCAAATTGAATAGAGAAAGGATTATCTTGAACTAATTTGTTGATAGAAATTAGATTATGGGAAATGGAAGGCACATGAAGCAAAGGATTTAAGAGGAGCCTACGATGAGGAGTAGGTAGAAGGCCTTGACCAGAATGAGTAATTGGTAGCATGTCTCCATTGCCGATTTGCACTTGTTGAGTTCCCATGTATTGCTGTGGATTTTGAATTTAAGTAAAATCAGGTGTTAGATGAGAGGTGGCACCTGAATCTAACACCCAGTCATTAGTTTATGAGGCCGAACTGGCTACGAATGCAGAGGAAGAGGCAGGTTGATATTGCAGATTGGCTCTATGCCAACACTTGAATGCAGAATGTCCTGGTTTGCGATAGATTTGACATTCGATATAATTTGTATTGGCAGACTGTCCAGATTGTCAAAACTGTGTAGATTGCTGTACCGGAGAGGGATTAGTGGAAATATATCTTCCACGACCTCTGTTAGAGCGAAAACAGCCACGACCGTGGGAGGCAGCCAGAGCAAGCTGAGGATCGGTAGACGGAAGCAACTGATTTTCACAAGCACGTTCAACAGCAATGTTGAGTTCTTCACTGCATAACAAGGCATAAAATTCATCTATATTGATTGGCTGCATATTCGCTCTAATATAGGCTTTAAATGCCTGGTAACCCGGAGGCAGTCCATTCAAAGTATACATGATAACATCTTTGGGGTCTAATGGAGTGCCGAAGGAAGCTATCGCGTCACATTTGCTCTTAATATCAGAAAGATACTGCAACATAGTTCTATCTTTCATGGTGACGTGATGCAACTCGTTCTTTAACTGGAGTAGTCTGGAACGATTCGACGATTGCAGACGTCGTTCGATCGTTTTCCAGATATCCGCACAGGTTTCCAGATTCAAAATATATGGCAAGAGACTTTGTGAAATCACAGAATACAAAGCAGCTGATAGATTTTGATCTATAAGGATCCAGGTTTGATAGTTAGGATTAAGAACAACTTCACCTGAATCTTTAACTGTGTTTTTCCGGTTTTGGTGTCGTTCCGTCCAAGCATCCGTCAAACCCGTTCGCAGTAAAGAGCTTGAGCACTTGAGATTTCCAGAGGAGATAATTATTTGAAGTCAGTTGAGTATTCATCACCGACTTCATATTGAGTATCAGAAACTTGAGTTGTGGTGGAATAATGGCACCACCCATCTTCGCCGGGTTTTGAGAGGAGACGGAGGAGTTGTTGCCTGACGAATCGGCAGTGCTCATTCTGAAAATTTTGAAGAAGGGATTATGAATCAGAGAAGAATCCTGGTGAGCTCTGATATCATGAGAAGCTTCTTCAACTTGTTATCTTCAACCTGCAAGAGATGAACAGTATTCTTAGAAACCTTTCTTGCATTCCTTCACTGTCCTTCATACAGTATATATAATGTATGAAAAGATACTAGCCATTGGATCAATCCGTTAGGCATTCACGGCTGAGATTAAAAGAGCTTGTATGTGCATGTCTGCTTTAACAGAGAATTGGGAAAATGCTTAAGCTAGGCGGCGTTGCAGTATAAGCTACTCAGCTTATAACGTGTGCTTATCAGGGAATGTTTGCGGCGACAGGCACTGGGAGGAAGGTGGAGGCGATGGTGATATCTATGATGAGGGGTGAGACTGGTGGTGATATGGTAGAGATGACAGAAGGAAGGAGGTGGGCGGAGCGGCGAATGGATTCCCATCGGAGTGTGATGGGGTCTGAGGACTCGGGGAAGAGAGAAGGTTCAAATGGGGCAAGAGGGAAGTCAATGAGAAGGGATGATGAGAGGGAGGAGAGGAGGCTGGATTCGGCTGCGGTTATTGTGGGGTGGACGGTCAGGAGAGAGATGGAGATGCCGCGGTCGGAAAGTGCGTTGGCGAGTCGGACGAACGGATTGAGATTGCCCATGCCGGAGCTCGGGATGAGGAGGACCTGAGAGAGTTTAGTGTTGCCGGAGGACATGGCTGCACAGTTGCTACGACGGTAAAAGTATGTGTGGCACTTAGGACTCGCAATCTTATCTTTAATTTATAACGCCAGGATAATTTTTTTATGTGTGACATTTTTTATATGTTATTTTTTAATATGATTAAATAATATTATTAAACTATTTGATATAATTAAATAATTATATTTTTATAATATTCTTATTAATTATTTTATTTAAGATTTATTTTATAAAGGAGTAGTTTAATCCTTAAAATTAACAAAAGAATTATATTTATTAGAAATTTTAAAAAGCGACTGAGAGAGAGAGTCCGGAGAGATTAAAATTAAAAATATACATAATTAAATTTTAAAGTTTAATATAAATT